CCTCCATTAATTTGTTCATTTTGTTGAATCCAAAGGACTTGCAAAGTTTTTAAGATTTTTTATTGAAACTTTTATTTGTGTCAAAAACTACAACTTGCATATATTTTTAATAATATTTCTATAGTTACATAAACAAACCTAAAACACCGTATATACTGAATTCAATTATTTTTGGACAAAACGTATTTTGTATGCGAAGTCTGCTCCTGTGTTAAATTTTTAGGTTAGATAACCAACAAAAAACAGTAATTTTGTTTAGGGCAACACTGTTTTCATTTGGTTTGCAGCACTGGTAACCGATTTAACCGCACTGAGAAAATTCCAATCTTAAATTATCTTAATGAAATTATCTACATAGTGTTCAAAATATATCTAATAACCAGTACAAATTATCTATCTGTGACATGAAGACGAATTAAGGTGACTAATAGATACGTTTTAATAAAGTGTTAAAACAAAAAATATAGATCATCTATATTTATATTTTAACAATCATAAAATATCTAAATACCACCATAAACTCGGATTAATATGTCGCTGTTCTTAAAATTATTTTAATGCCAGTGATAAATAACTAAATATGGTTAATAGACGACCTTATTAAAACTTGTCTTAATAACCATTAATAGTCAATTGTGAACACATAACATAAGATTGTGAACCACCTTAAATTATCTAAAGACCTTAAGAAGTTGTATAATGGCCTTAACAAACTCATCTACCTAACTAACAGATTCGGCTTTCCGAATATACTCGAATCGACCAATCGTTTAACTAGCGTCCATAGCACAGAACAGCGTCCTCTGTGGAAGCGTCATTTATTATTTCTCACTTGTTAACGGGAAATTGAGGATAATATTGAATCGTTTATAGAAGAAAAAGGGCGTTTCTTCACAATTGTTTTGCGGTAATTTTACAGAACATAGTAATGGCTTTCAAAGTTACTCTGCTTGAATGGGGGCTCAGTGATTTTGTTAAAGGATTTGAAGGTAGGTTCAATTTCTTTCTAGTTTCCGGGGTCCCTGCATTAAACATTTAAAAAATTCATGCTGTATTTAATATGTTGATGATACTTTTATAAATGTATGCTTTGAAGTTTATTTTATAGGATATTGGTAAAATCTGAAATATATTTTTGGTAAAATGTTTACAATTTATTATTAATAGGTACCATATTTATAAATAAACCAGCTTGAGAAAGATTACCAAGATTTTTAATAGGTCAGAATATTGGCTTTGATTCCTTAATTTATTATTTAATTATACCTACATGTATAAAGTTATAATTTTAAGATGGCCTATCTGCTGAAATAGTTTAATTTTTTTAAAGCTCAATTGTTATCTTTCTTTTTAGGGTAAATGGAAATAATCCTTAAAAGTATTATTAATTAATATTTCTACTAAAAGTACCCAGGTAGCACACTGACGTATGCTGACGTTAAAATGACGTTGCCAAAGTCATTTCAACGTCATATAAACGTCAGTGTGCTACCTGGGTGAAGTCTTGAAAATGAAAATAAAGTCCCAACGCAGAAAATGCACTAATAAGGTCGTCTAGTAAAAATAATTTCGGTATTTATCTCTATTTTATTTCCTAAAAAAATAAGAAAAGCATTAATTTATGCTAATTGCGATATGTTTTTCTGATTTTTTTATAAACATTTAGGTTAGAGTGCTCCAATTGATGAAAATAATGGTGTTAATGATTTTTTTAAATAAAATAAAAATGAATGCCAAAATTATGTTCAAGTACTCAAATAAAAATCCAACCTTTTAATGCATTTTTTCGCGTTGGGGCTTTATTTTATTTTCAAGACTTTACTTTTAGTAGAAATAATGCTTTTAAGATTTATTTTCGTTTATTTATACCATGGTGCAGCTCCATTTATAATAAAATTAAACTATTGCCGTAAATAGGCCATCTTAATATGATAGCTATAGCATATTATTATGGCAAATAAATATATTTAGGATCATATTAAGATAGCATAAGAGGATATTAGGATGGAATTAAGATGATTATAAAATAATATATTTACCATTATAAGATTTATTTGCCATATATGTACCAATTTGAGATCATATTAAGATGTCATAAGAAGATATTTAAGTGATATTAAGATGATCCTAAAATAATATATTAACCCTTATAAGATATATATTAATGGTCGATATAAAAACTTTTGATGGTCTTATGATAATTGTATTAAGTTTACCTATTGATGGTCACAAAGTATAGTTATTAAATTGAATCTATTAATGGTATTTAAACGGTCTTAATGTCCCCTATTTTACTGCGATATCTTAAATAAGGTTATTAAGAATCTTAAAGATGGTCTTAAATTATTTTTCTCGGTGATCGCGATCATACAGCGTCGGTCGTTTCGGTAACGATTGGTTAACCTATTTTTCAGGAACCGCGTTTCTTAACTAGGTACATAATTTTCAGGAATTTTTTATTTACGGGACACCTTAACCGAAACCAAACCAACCAAGTTGACTTACGGAACATACCCTTAATATACAATCTCAATGTCAGTGTACCATTAAATGGTGGACAAATGATAACCATAAGTGGTCAAATGCTTACCATACTTTGATAACAGCAATAGTTAGTTTTGGGACATCAATGAGTAGTGTCAAGAACTGTTTTAAATTGAAAATATGTGGATTGTTGTTCTGGGCATTAAAGGGTTACTGTTATTGTTTTATTTTCTTTGTGTAGGATCTTTAAACTAGAGGGATTGGCACCGCGAAAACACCTATTAATTAAATTTTATTATGGTTTAAATAATAATATTTAATCATCAAAACACATGTTTTTAAATACAACATTTAAAAGTTTTTGAATTTAAATGTATTATTTTAATAAAAAATATATTTACCGCGGTGGCCGGGATAATACATTAAAAAGTTGTTTTTTGCCCACCCTGTTTAAATCCTCGGTTTGCCATCCTTAAATATCTGCAGTTATCAATGGGTTTGGCGATCAATATATTTTTTATTAAAATAATAAATTTAAATTCCTAAACCTTTAAATGTTGTATGTAAAGAATTGTGTTTTGATGCTAAAATATTGCTATGTTATAAAAAAATAATAGGATACCTTACAAGAAGAGACCGGATTCTAGGCAAAATGCCTATCGTCAACTTTGATATGCCGTTAAAATGTATTTAGTGCAAAATGTGTTTTGGACAATTATTTGGTTTTAATCCAACATCATTTTTGCCCTTTTTACTCCTTTTTAAATTACAAAAATGCCTAAAACTTGCCTAAAATGCCAAAATCCTTGCCTAAAATAAGAAACATAATGCCCTTTTTTAATTATAGTTTTTTTTAACCCACTAAAGTGGTTAAAAAATAGCTGAAACACGACTAAACTTGCAGTACCTATATATTAAATTTTGCACGTAGGTTATTTTTAACAATTAAGTGACCTAAAACTAACAGCATTATTTTAAAACAAAATTTTGTATAATACAACATGGCATTATACCACGTTGCAGGAGGTTTATTGAAAGGATTAAAAATAAAAAAAATCTGACATTGTTTTAGGATTTACCTACGAGTGTTTAAAAATTGAATGTTATTTTCAACTTGAAGATTTCAAGTTGAAGTTGACATGGTTGATAAATGTGTTTCTGACAGTCTGTCTTAAAACCCAAACTTTATTATTATTAACAAATTTAAATTCATTACAAAATTGCAGCTTTCTAATGAGTTTAAATTTGTTAATAATAACAAAGTTTGGGTTAAAAGACAGGAACTGTTAGAAAATACATCTATCAACCATGACAACTTTAAGTCGCTGTAGATGCGTAACGCATTATGCGTTGTATATTTTGTTTCCATAAGAGCCGTTTTTACAAGTTTTTTTTAAATCGGCTTAGAAAATATACAGCGTTGCCGGGGTTTTGTAACTTAAGTATTTACTTAATAACTCGAGTTTTCCATTCGTCGAAAAAAAATTCTGTATAACTTTAACACCCCTATCTTAAATTTTAATCTAATACTATATCTAAGAAAGGAGCAATATTTGGACATTGGTTTTTATAAACTTTTTCTTAGTTAAAATGACTTTCTACATTCGTTGTTAAAGTCCTGCTACTAAAACCTGAGACACCCTTTTATAAAAATGGCTTGCCACTACATTTTAAATACTTTGTAATCGTATTCATGTTTCATTAGTTAATTAAAAAAAACTAAGATATAAATAAAATCCATTATTAATATATAGTGCATTTTTATTAAGTCCTATTTAGTAACACTTTGACTTATACCTATATTATATTATTATCACAATCAAACCTTAAAGGTTTACTTACAAAATAACTATACTAAATATATTTGAACAAAACCTATTTTAACAACACCTGCAAGATATATGTAATTTCTTGATTCTCTGAGATTGGACGAAATAATGAATTTCCTGATTGTTGATTTTATACCTTTAAACCGTGTGCAAAAATACAACTTTGCCAACGGGCTGAAGTTTGATTTAAGTTAAAATTAAAAAAAGTGAGGTTAAAACTGTTTTGACGTCGAATAAAATATAAAACAATTGGCATTCTGTAGTTAAATAACATATTTTGTAAGATCATTGGTCAAAGACTCGCATGTTAACGACTCGCTACGCTCGTGCGGAATACTCAACGTTCGGGGAATCTCCTCTTTCTCCCACTAGTCGGGCAATATACTATTATTTACTAATAAAGTTAGAGCAAATTTATGGCATGGCTGTAAATTATGATTCTTTAACGGTTATAAAATCTATTTAAAACTAAAATAATATCAGTAGGCATTGGTATTTTGTTTTCCCAAGGTTCTATTGTATTTAAGTTTATTATATATTTTTAAACATAGTATTTTATTTAAATATTTTTTTTTAATTGATTTTTGGGTTAAATACCAATACTATAATAATATTATTATAAGTAATATTCTGAAATTTTTAATAAATTATAATATAGTACATAAGTTAAAAACAACAACAAAACATTTAGGTGTTAAATGTTGTTTGCAAATCAATTTTTTTATATAAATCAGCAATAATTCTACTAATAGAAGTAAATCCTATAGATGATCTAAAGAATAATTCTTCTATCGTTTCAGATGGTATTCTCGAAAAAGTTGTTAAAAGCAAAATAATTTTTTCACAGCGATACTGGTTATCAGCATATGTGTTTTTTATATATTTATTTAAAGTAACTTGACATTCATTTCGCATGGCTTCTACTTTAAGAACATCATGTAATGTATTATTTGCCGCCTTATTTTGATTTGACTTATACAAAGCCATGGCTCTCAAACAAGTATACTCAAAAGTATCTAAATTGAGCTGTCTAATATTTTCCAAAATAAGTTGAAATTCCGCTATAGTATTTAAAAAATGAGTAGGACTAACATGTTTTTTTAAAACATTGTTGTATTCTAAAAGATCAGCAAAATTAATCATAACTAATAATTGAGCGGCTCCAATTATAAATAATTCCTTCCAAGATTCTTGCAACAAAATCACCTGGTCTCTTTTATTCAAAGTTACAAATGAAGGTCCAGTCTTTGCCCATTGAATGTTCATAAATAAAAGCCTAGCAGCATATTCGCAAACAACAGATGGATGATAAGAAGCCAAGTTCGACTGCGGCGGATGACAAAATAATGAATTTCCTCCAAACTGAAAATAACAAGATTATTTACAATATTTTACTAATTTTTATATTATTTATAGTTTAAATTTCAAACTAAAGAATATACTTACATTTTGAACTGAATCTTTACTAATTTTAGATGAAACATAAGAAGAAGCCATTTGACAGGATAAATCTAATGTTGTTTTCTGCATTACCGAAGAAAAGTTTCCATTTGATGCGAACATTGGTTGCTTTTCTTCAATATAATATGTTTCCATAACTTGCTTTCTTAATGTTGCATTTCTGGGACCTCTCTCATTTTGAACAGCTAAAAACAACAATAAATAAACTATGTATAAGAAAAAATATTCTGTAATTTTTAATTATGCATTGTCACTTTTTTAAACAAGGGTATTTAACTTTAAAAGTACTTCAACCAAAATTAAAAAAGTTATATTAGGTGGTTCTCAAGGTATAAATAAAGAACTCATAACTACTTCCCATAAATTAAACAATTAATTGTAACAGTACCTAATTATTATCACACCTGGGCTTTAAAGTGCTCTTAAACTAAAGGGTCGTAAGTACTTTAAAGGGGCTTTAGTAATAGTTACAAATATGTTAAGCAAAAGGAGGTGATTTAAGAATAGTTTTAAATAAAATAGGTACTATTTTATTTAATCGGCCAAACCTACCGTCTTTGTTCATTCCAACCATTTCGCATTTCTTCAATCTACACGCTCGGCACTGATTTCTACTATTCTTGTCAATAATGCAAGTATTTTCAATATTTCCCTTACAAATATATTGTCTACTTCTTCTAATAGAGCGTTTAAAAAAACCTGCGCATCCATCACAAGCAAAAATATTATAATGTTTTCCAGATGAATTATCGCCACAAACTTTACAAGGGATGTCCAAAATACGAGCTGTAAAATTAATAGCAATGTTTTATATTAAGAAAACTCATGTTTATGTCATAAAGAGCGTAAAGTTATGCTCTACGGGTTTTCGTTTTCGAGTTACTCGCTGTAGGTAACTTAAAAACAAAAACCCTCTGTAAATATTTCGAAGACTAAAAGATAATTGAAGATAAGTACCTAGACACATATATATACATATGTATTTATAGGTTAGGGTGCTTTTTTTACGACTATTTTTATTTTTTCGCTCCCAACTCAAAATCTCCCTGAAAATTTGAGCCTTTAATATTAACTCAAAGTACTCTACGAAAGCGTTTAAAATACACGTAAACTTTGATTACTTTTTTTTAAATATCTATATCTATATCTCATCCGCATTTTATGCTATTGGATTGTTTCAAAAAGGTATTTACTCGTAATCAAAAGTTCTACAAAAATGCTTTATGTGCCATATATGGCATTACAGCTATAGCTGTAATCTGCACCTGTAGGATGGTACGGTCACTAAATCTTATTTTAGTGAAAAATTCTCATATTTTTGAAGATATTTCAAAAGTGACTGGATTCTTTGAAAAAATGTAAAGAACAAACTTGTAGAAAATTTAATTTTTTTTTAAAAAGGTCCTATCAGTTGAATCGCTAAGATTGATATTTGTTGAGATATTTACGTTTACATTGACATTTTATGAAATTTTCAGGATTTTCGTATCAAACTTTTTATAAATAATGATTTTCAATTGTTTATAAGTACAATTTCATGTAATTACGTTTTTTCTACAGTCGGGTGATTAGAGAAAAATAAATAACTAAAACAATCAAGCAATATTATTAACAAAATAACATGTTCTATGTAATACACCTCGTTATATCAATTTTTAGGTTAGATATATCTTTTAAAGTTATGTTATTGATAATTATGCTTGATTGTTTAAGTTATTTATTTTTATCTATCACCCGACTGTGAAAAAAACGTAGTTAGATAGAAATTGTACTGAAAAACAATTGAAAATCATCATTTATAAAAAGTTTGGTACGAAACTCCTAAAAATTTCATAAATTGTCAATGTAAACGCTTTATATCTCAACAAATATCAATCTTAGCGATCAACTGATAAGACCTTTTTTAAAGAAAATTAAATTTTCTACAAGTTTGTTTTTTAAATTTTTTCAAAGAATCCAGTCAATTTTGATGTATCTTCAAAAATATGAGAATTTTTCAATAAAATAAGATTTAGTGACCCGCACCATCCTACAGGTGCATGGCACATAAAGCATTTTTGTAGAACTTTTGATTTCGAGTAAATCCCTTTTTGAAACAATCCAATAGCATAAAATGCGGCTGAGATATGAATTTTTGGTGTACCTGTTAATTAAGGAGCAAAAGAGAAAGCCATTAACAGTATTTGAAAATTTTATACAGGGGTCTGGTATTTATGTCACTTTAAATACCAATACCTTTCTTATTTTAAACGAAACAACCATACAATTTTCTTATCATTCGACACAAAATAATGTTTTCTATTCTCTATACCTAAAATGAATATTTACAGAAATATTACAAGAAATGTGAAAAACTGCCTATTTTTTTTATTTGTAATATCAGTAGTGTGCGTTGAATTTTCTTTAATTTCGTATTTATGAAGTAATGTCAATGTCAACGTCTCTGACATTATGTTAGAATGGTTGATACGTTGATACATATGAAGAGTGCGGAAAAGTTTTGGAAAAAACAATAGGAACTTTGAATGTGTAATATCAGTATTGTGCGTTGGATTGTTTTTATTTCGTATTAAACAACGTTAAAAGAATTATCAATTTAAAGTTCAAAAAATTATATTGAAAAAATAAAAAAATGTAACAATAAAACAAATCTAAAGTTATTATTCAATGTATCGCCCGTGTTGTAACACAATTGTCAGATACGTTGACATTACTCCATAAATACGAAATAAAATACAATCCAACGCACACTACGGATATTACAAATAAAAAATAAGCGGTTTTTTCACATTTTTTGTAATATCTCGGTAAATATTGATTTTATGTATAGGGAATGCTGCAGCATTTCAATATAAAACATTATTTTGTGTTGAATAATGTGAAAATTGTAGGGTAGTTTTGTTTGAAATAATGAAGTTATTAGATAGAGTGCTCCTTATTTAACAGGTACCAACACCAAAAATTAACTTCTTAACATTAGAATTAGTGGTTAAACAGACATATTCATCTATCAAAGTTTTTGAAAAAAATGAAATATCTCAAAAACTGTTAAAAATTTTAAAAAATAATTAAATTTTAATATTTCTTGAATTGTACGTAGAATTTAAAAATGCAATAATATTTATATGGTTCCATTTAAAAAACCAAAGTTGATATCAATTCCGGTTTAACCGGAAATGTATGTATGTATGTATATACATTAGGGTGTCCCTTATTTTTTATTTTTTTACGCATACCCTCTAATTATATTTATTACGTGTTTATATACTCCCAGTAAAAATTTCAGCTCATTCTATAAACGGGAACCCGTGCCGACTTGCATCTGAACCCTCCGTGAGCCAACATTAGGCGCGCGGTATTTTGTAACACGGTTGGCCGCGAGGTCTTCGATCGTAAGTCATTTTGTGTTTGTTATTATGTGACCCTTATATTATAAATTATTGACAAATGTTAAAATATAGTTTTATTTATGTGTATACTTTGATGAAAATGTATATTTTCACAGGGAGTGGCTAGTTACCCGGAAGGGTCTAGTGAATATGCCGTAAACTCTGAAATTGATAAACTTAATGGGATTTACTCTAAATAACTAAAAGAGTCTATTGTGAGAGATGACTACCGAAAACTGTCTGAAATATTTTTGGGAGGACATCAAGAAAAGAAATGCTTATAAAAAGCTGAAATTTCATATAACAGTATATTTTAGCAATACTAATTAGTATATTAATATATTTAAGGGATAAAATCAACTAATTTTTTTTTGGTTATTTTTTAGCTGTCATTCAGATATAAAAACAAGACTTTCGGGTAATTAGTTTTACGGCCTATTCACCCGACACTTCTGGGTAACTAGCCACTTCCTGTAAAATTATTCATTTTTATTAAAGTATACACATAAATAAAACTATATTTTAACATTTTTTAATAATTTATAATATAAGGGTCACATAATAACAAACACAAAATGACTTACGATCGAAGACCTAGCGGCCAACCGTGTTACAAAATACCGCGCGCCTAACGTTGTCTAATGGAGGGTTCAGATGCAAGTCGGCACGGGTTCCCGTTTATAGAATGAGCTGAAATTTTTACTGGGAGTATATAAATACGTAATAAATATAATTAGAGGGTATGCGTAAAAAAATAAAAAATAAGGGACACCCTAATATACATATATATACATATATATGCATATAAATAATATGTGAATTTAAAAAAGCGATCGTTATAACGTTATAAATAAAGAAAATATAGCGCTACCTCACATACCAAATTATGCATGTACCTATACACTAGTTTAAATGCAAGTTAAATGACAACCTCAAACTGACTTTTTCTAAATAACTATTTTAATTTTTTATTATTATAATAGTATACTAATGTTACATTCGGATCCGGTCCAAAACCTCTTTTAAAGGAACGTGTGTGTAAAGTAAAAAAAAATCAAAAGACAGACCAGGGCCAGTTTCTAAATCACCGTTCATATTAGAGTTTTTAGCGTTAAAAAATACGCAATATCATAAATTCAACCGCTAATGGAAAAAAAGCCTAGTGTTTTAAAAATGTACCTACATCATAAACAAGTTTTCTAAATTTATGTGCCAAAAAGGTTTTTACTTACACGAAACACTGGGCATTTGCTGTGATCTTAAACTCATTTTATCCAATGACATATTTATTGTCACTTATTTTCACTTATTTACACTATACTCTTTACTATCTTTGATGCTCTATGACCCAACAGGTCGATCATCAACTTTTAAACATCCCAGAATGCTCCGGTTTATGGTCGGAGTGTTTAAAGCTTTTGTCCGGAAAATACTACCTTCTGATTGGTCACCTTTCATCCGTACCATTGTTAAGGGATGACTTAATCCCACCCCAAATGCTTAGCCTGTACTTAGGGTACGAACATTTTTTGTTGTTTGCTGTCCCAGGTAATATATTTAGTTTTTAAAAGAGATAACTTTTTTTAATGCAACGAGACAATATTATGTTACAATAATTTTATTTTTTATGTTAATAGACACTCCAGTTCTTATTTCTATATTTTATAAGTATTAATTAATTAATTTTGAATTTTTTAGTATTTATTAGTACATGTATATTGTAGAAGCCTTTTTAGGCAGAATTTCAAAATTAAAAATATTTATTATTATTTTATTTAATATTTATTATACATTGAGACAATATTTTTGGAAAAACAGAATGAGGTATGAATACGTAATTTAACTTACCTAACTAATCTTAGCAAATTAAGTAATGACAGTGGCGTATCAAATTTTTATTCCTATATTATAATACATATGTCATAAGTACACAGAACAGTAAGTTATAAGTGTGGGATCAATTTTATAATATATATTTTTCTATTTTATGCTGCAACTATGAACTTGCACCAATAATTTATTATATTTATATTTAATATATATAGTATTAATCAAAAACCACTAATATTTAATTTGGTTTAATACTTAAGTTAATATAAATATTTATTTATACTTTAGTATCTATATATAACTATAACTATATATTTATGCAAGTAGAAATGTGCCAGAAGTGACCAAGTCCACTTCACTAAGAATAGTAAAATTTGAAAAAGTCATATATTAAACTTTTAAAAGTATTATAGGGCTCGTTAAATATGACTATTTGAATAAAAACCTGATTTTATAAAAAACTTTAAACTTCAACTTTTTACTCAGTTTTCCCAGTAAGCGATATTATATAACAGAAATATATTGTTTGGTTACATGCACAACATTTGGGCGATTCCATGATTACCTACTAACGGAACAAGCAAAAAAAACCAAAATGTGTTGTTCCTATAATAATAATTTTATGCCAGTCCTCAGCAATGAAATTAAGTAATAATAACTATTATAAAATTATTATTATATGAACAACACATCTTTACAATTTTCATAAAACATTTTGTCTTGTTTTTGTTTGTCCCGTTAGTAATCATGGAATAGCCCATTTGTTTAAGAAAAGTTAAGAAAATCCATCGCCCAATATAGTTATTTATGTCATTAGGTGAAGACAAAATAGAGAAGAAGTAAGCGTAGCGGTGGGCCACATTTGAACCAAGCAAAAAAGACCCTCTTGGCCGAATGACATAAAACATTTTATCTCGGTATATAAATTAAGGCACAATTTTATTTGTTAAACTATAAATTGAACGTACCACTATTAAAAGTAGAAATTGAGGTTAGATTGATCTGACAGATATCGAACTTTATTATTGGTCCAAACGCGGTAAAAAATGATTGACTTATCAAGTAGCTTGCAACTCCCAATTGGTCTAAATTATTTTTATGTGCCTAGTTTATAATATATCACATTAGTGTCGAGTGTTGACGACAATAAAGTTTAATTTATAGACCGATTAAAGATAAAATATATTTACACACGCTGTCACTGTTTCAATTAATCGTTTTAAAAGTAAAGGTACCAAACATTTTAACTTGGTATTACCTAAACAATATACCTTATTATTAAAATGGGATTGTCAAAACAAATCGGCCTATATTAGTGTAGGTATACTAGAATAGGCTTGTTTATTGGCAATTTATATATTAAACAATGATAATAACGCCGTTTTATTTTTAATAGTAAATGTTGTCAATCTAAAAAAAATTATAGAGTCTTTGATTTGTTATATTTTCTTATTTAATACATATAAAAATTAAAATTAAATTTAATTCAAATTTAATTAAAACAGATAAAAAAATAGCGAATTATTATTAGGTCCAGACATAATAATATAAGATAAGATAAAACAAAGCTGCAGATTTCGCAAGACGAGTAAAATGTGCTCCTTTGGTTTCAATGAAAAAATATCATCGGATATTAAGCATACCAAAAGTTTTATAAAATATAATAAATTTGGATATAACTAATTGTCAGTCTGACATTTAAAACTAAAATTTGGTGCTTTAATTATTTTATTCAAACTTGCCTTAATTTTATTATCGTTTACCCCACCCTAGCGATCTTTTGGGTTTAACAATTTATTATTTTAATAATATAAAAAATCCAGGATTTAAATGTCAACAAAATGTCGAATAAAGAAAACGTCAAAATCCTTAGTAACGTGTAAACAAGGTTATACAAAAAATTGTCGCTGTGATAAAATGGGTGAATATACATATATTACTGGCATTTTATTGGTTCTTATATTAATGAATTATATTCTCACCCATAATAGTGAGAAAATATAATTAATTATAAGATTTAACAAATTGTCAGTTTGAAATTTGAAATAAAAATGTGCTTTATAATATAAAAAGACTTTAATAAACCAGACAACTTTGGAAGTTTGTATAATAATTTGTTAAACTCATAACGTTGTTTGAGTTTATGATTTTAAGTGGGAAATACGTAGTTAAAACGTTGTCTGGGAAACGTTGGCCGAATGTATTGCTAAAAACAGCGTTTCCAACTTTACATTTAATCTACTTTAAACTAAAGTTTTAACCAAAAAAAATTTAATGTGGAATTTAAAAAAAAATTCTAGAAAAATAAAACTCTGCAATAAATGTTTAATAAAGGTCATAAAATCAAGAATACGGCCGAAATATTTTACTTAAGTCCCGTCGGCAATTTTTTTAATGTGGATATTTTTTTATTTTTTTTTTATAATAAGTTAGTTATAAAAGTAAAATCAAACTCTTCAATACATTTTTAAAGTCATAATATTAAAAATACGACCGAAATACACAAAATCCACTTTCAAACTACGTTGAAGAATTGTATTGCTAAAAACGTTGAAACAACATTTCCAAAACCCACATTTTGCTACATAAAATTATTCTGCAATAAATGTTTAAAAGTCAGTATCAAAAATACGGCTTAAATACACAAAACCTACAGTTAGATACATAAAATTATTGAATGTATTGCTAAAATCGTTGTTACTGCGGTTTCAACTTTACATTTAATCTACTTTTTTAAGTGTCAACTAAAAAGTTCCGTCGTTAAATTTTTTATTGTGGATTTTTTAAATTTTTTTATAATAAATTAGTTAAAAAAGTAAAGTATTGCTAAAAACGTTGAATCAACATTGCCAAAACTCACAATTTGTTACAAAAAATTATTCTGCAATAAATGTTTAAAAGTCATAGTATCAAAAATACGGCTTAAATTCATAAAATAATTGTAAATGGCCGAATGTATTGCTAAAAACGTTTATACAGCGTTTCCAACTTTACATTTAATCTACTTTAAACTTTTTTAAGTATCAACTAAAATTTTTTAATGCGGAATGCAATAAATTATTATTTTGTTATATAATTAGTGTTGACATCCCGCCAAATTTTGTGCCAATTCTGCCCAGTGTTTTTTGGGAAAATATGGTTGAAAGATAAGGTAATTTTTATACGATAGAGCACAATAAATTTAGTTATAATACAAAACCTCAACAATTTGTTTAAAAAAGAGTGTTTTTTTGAGAAGGATAATTTTTTTATCTATGACAAATTTAGTAAAACGATCAATAAAAATAAAGAAAGTTGATCACTAAAAATTAAATATTAGGGCAAAGTAGGACTTCATATTTTTTGTAGATGTCCAGGGTAAAATGGTATAATTAATTAAATAAAACTATAAAATATATAGAGGTATATAGGTAAATGTCCAATTTAGAATTTTATTTTTTCCAAAATAATTGTCCTATTTCAAAAGAAAATATTCAAAGGAATATATAAATGTCAAACTAGATTTACTTTTTACATGCTTAATTTTTAAATAAATTATTCATTAAAATAACTAAAAAAATAAATAAAACTTATTTTGGAACGGAGGGAGTAATATTTATTTCCAGAGTAAAAGGAAGTACTGCAATAATTGTAGTGCAATTCTTCCAAAATTAAGCCAAAAAAATTTGAAAGTAAAATTTACTCTCAAATTTTAATAAAATTTAATTTAACTAAGTAGTTGTAATCACAATAAATCTGGGCCACAACAAATTTTTATTTTTAATATTGCTTAATTAAAAGTAATAGTAAAATAAAATACCTACTAAGATATTTTTAACTAAAATATTTAAAATATCTTTTAATAAACTAGCTTAAAATTTTTCTAAATAGCAGACTGATTTTCGACAAAACATGTATATTGAAATTAAATTTTTTCAGAATTTGATTTAATATTAATTTTGATCTACAAAAATATTTTAACACCTCAAAAATAAAATTTTTTTTTTTAATATAGCCGCACTATTAAAAGTGATGAACTTGCTCTTTTATAAATGCTAATATAGTTATTTAGGTGATAAGGCTGAGAAGTGATTCTTTTTGTGCTCAAAGTTTGAATGCCTACGCTAACTTGCATATAATAATGAATAAAAATAATTTTTTGTATTCGTCGTAGATAAAGTATAGTATGCAACTCGTTTTATAAACTTTTCTAGATACTCGTTTTTATTAAACACTTCGCTCGTGCCTAATAAAACTTGTAACTAAAATGGCGTTTATAAAACTTATAATATTAATATTTATTTAATTAATCAATAAATCAAAATTATAAAATAAAATTTGCTTAGTCTGGTTTAAAAGTTCATAATTATTAACTTTAAAGCCTTTATATGTTCAGGTAAAATGAAAAGGTGTACGCATATTGAAAGCTAGAATTACTACTATTGGGTCTGTGATTGGGT